AAGAAGAAATTCAAGCCTTGAGCTGCAATATTGAAGAATTCTACAGGAAAAATATCGAACACTGCAAGAAACATCAAAAGGAGATGGAAGGAGTACACAGTCACTGTACCAAAAAGAATTGGTCAGCATTCAACCATTTCAGGAGGTATCATGTGATCAAGAACTGATGGTATTGAAGGAAGAAGTTCAAGCTGCACTGAAGGGAATGGTGATAAACAAGTCTTTCAAGTCTTCAGAAATTGACAGAATACCAATTGAGATGTTTCATCAAACAGATGCAGTGCTGGAGGTGCTCACTCATCTATGTCAAGAAATTTGGAAGACAACTTCCTGGACAACCAACTGGAAGAGATCCATATTTGTGCCCATTCCAAAGAAAAATGATCCAATAAAATGGGGAAATTATCAAACAATATCATTAATATCACACACAAGTAAAATTTTGCTGAAGATCATTCAAAAGGTTGCAACAGTACATCAGTACATCAACCTCTCCAACATTTATTATTTGGTGTTTTTTGGATTAAAGCTAGCCTTGCTGGAGTGAGATGGTATCACATTGTAGTTTTGATTTGCATTTCTCTAATGGCTAATGATCGTGAGCATTTCCTCATGTAGATAATCCTTATTTGGAGATTACATTTCTAACTGTTTTGCTAGTAAAAATTCTCAAAAGAAAAAACGTGGTCACTGAAATAAGATAGAAATATGTTAAACAACAAAGTACATCAGAAACAACAGTACATCAAAATTTCAAGCCAGATTCAAAAGAGGATATGGAAGGAGGGATATCATTGCTGATGTCAGATGGATCATGGCTGAAAGCAGAGAATACCAGAAAGATGTTTACTTGTGTTTTATTGACTATGCAAAGGCATTGAACTGTGTGGATCATAACAAAGTGGGAATAGCATTGTGAAGAATGGGAATTCCAGCACACTTAACTGTGCTCATGAAGAACCTGTAAGTAGACCAGTAGCCAGTATTTCAAACAGAACAAGGGGATAGTGCGTAAAGTCAGGAAATGTGTGCATCGGAGTTGTATCCTTTCACCATACTTATTCAATCTATATACTGAGCAAATAATCAGAGAAGATGGACTATATGAAGAAGAAAAGGGCATCAGGATTGGTGGAAGACTCATTAACAGCCTGCATTATGCACAAGACACAACCTTGCTTGCTGAAAGTGAAGAGGACTTGAAGCACTTACAGATGAATATCAAATACTACAGCCTTCAGTATGGATTGCATCTCAACTTAATGAAAACAAAAGTTCTCACAACTTGACCAATAAGCAACATTATGATAAACAGAAGAAAGACTGAAGTTGTCAAAGATTTCATTTTATTTGGATCCACAATCAACAACTGTGGAAGCAGCAGTCAAGATCAAGCAACACATTGCATTGGGAAAATCTGCTGTAAAAGACCTCTTTAAAGTGTTCAAAAGCAACGACGTCATTTTGAGGACTGAGGTGCACCAGACCCAAGCCATGGTATTTTCAACCACCTCATATGCATGTGAAAGCTGGACAAGGAATAAGGAAGACCGAAGAGAATTGACGCCCTTAAATTATGGTGTTGGCAAAGAATATTGACTATACCCTGGACTTCCAAAAGAAAGAATAAATCTTTCTTGGAAAAAGTACAGCCGGAATGCTACTTAGAAGCAAGGATGGTGAGACTTCATCTTACATACTCTGGACATGTTATCAGCAGGGACCAGTCCCTGGAGAAGGACATCGTGCTTGGTAAAGTAAAGGGTCAGCGAAAAAGAGGAAGACCCTCAATGAGATGGACTGACACAGTGGCTGCAACAATGGGCTCAAGCATAGCAGCAATTGTGAGCATGGTGTGGGACTGAGCAGTATTTTGTTCTGCTGTACATAGGGTTGATAAAAACAACAATGTCTATTAGTTGCAATAGCTGCTTGAATCTTACACCTGAGGAAACACAAAGAGATTAGTTAATTCGACCAAAATCGCAGAGCTAGTAGATGGTGGAGCCAAAATGTAAATCTAGACGATCTTTTTTTTTTTTTTTTATTGCTGTACTTTAAGTGAAAGTTTACAATTCAAGTTAGTCTCTCATACAAAAATGTATACATACATTGTTATGTGACCCTAGTTGCTCTCCCTATACTGTGACAACACACTCTTCCTTTCCACCCTGGATTTCTCACGTCCATTCAACCAGCTCCTGACCCTCTCTGCCTTCTCATCTTGCCTCTGGACAGGAGCTGCCCATTTAGTTTCATGTATCTACTTGAGCTAAGAATTACACTCTTCACGAGTATCATTTTATGTCCCATGGTCCAGTCTAATCTTTGTCTGAAGAGTTGGCCTCGGGAAAGATTTTAGTTTTGGGCTAACAGAGAATCCAGGGGCCATGTCTTCCAGGTTCCCTCCAGTCTCAATCAAAATATTAAGTAGAATTTGAGTTCTGCACTACACTTTTCTCCTGCTCCATCAGGGTCTCTCTGTTGTGTTCCCTGTCAGGGTGGTCATTGGTGGTAGCCAGGCACCATCTTATTCTTCTGGTCTCAGGCTGGTGAAATTTCTGGTTTATGTGGCCCCTTCTGTCTTCTGGGCTCATACTTTCCTTGTGTCTTTGGTGTTCTTCATTGTCCTTTACTCCAGGTGGGTTGGGATCAACGGATGCATCTTAGATGGCCACTCTCTAGATTTTTAGACCCCAGACACCACCCACCAAAGTGGGATGCAGAACATTTTCTTAATAAACTTTGTTATTCCAATTGACCTAGATGTCCCCTGAAAGCATGGTCCCCAGATCCCTACCCCTGCTACTCTGTCCCTCAAAGTGTTTGATTGTATTCAGGAAACTTCTTAGCTTTGATTTAGTCCAGTTGTGCTGACTACCCCTGTAGTGTGTGCTGTCCTTCGCTTCACCTAAGATATTTTTTGACTACTATCTAGTTAGTGAATACTCCCTCCCTTCCTCCCCACCCTCGTAACCATGAAAGAATGTTTTCTTCTGTGTTTAAACCTTTTCTTGAGTTCTTATAATAGTGGTCTTATGCAATATTTATCCTTTTGGAACTGACTAAACTCACTCAGCATAATACCTTCCGGATTCCTCCATGTTGTAAGATGTTTCACGGATTCATCATTGTTCTTTATCTTTGCATAGTATTCCATTGTGTGAATATACCATAATTTGTTTATCCATTCATCCATTGATGGCACCTAGGTTATTTCCAACTTTTTGCTATTGTGAGCAGTGCTGCAGTGAACACGGTGTGCATATATCTGTTCATGTGACGGCTCTTATTCCTCTAGGATATATTCAAAAGGAGTAGGATTGCTGGATCATATGGTACTTCTATTTCTAGCTTTTTAAGGAAGCACCAAATCAATTTCCAAAGTGATTTTACCATTTTACATTCCCACCAACAGAGTATAAGTGTTCCAGTGTCTCCACAACCTCTCCAACATTTATTATTTGGTGTTTTTTGGATTAAAGCTAGCCTTGCTGGGGTGAGATGGTATCACATTGTAGTTTTGATTTGCATTTCTCTAATGGCTAATGATCGTGAGCATTTCTTCATGTAGACAATCCTATTTTGGAGATCACATTTCTAACTGTTTTGCTAGTAAAAATTCTCAAAATAAAAAACGTGGTCACTGAAATAAGATAGAAATATGTTAAACAACAAAGTACACACAGCAGAAGAGAGAATTAGTAAATTGGAAAAAGGAGATTAGGAAATTACCCAGAATATAACAAGGGTGATGAACAAATGAAAAATTTGAAAACATATTTAAGAATAGAATGAAAAAGACCATAAATTTATAATATGAATTTCTGAAGGAGAGACTTAAAATAATGATGAGATAGCATAATAAAGAAAGAAGTAATAACCAAGTATTTTCCAAACTTGAAGAAACACATGAATTCTCAGTTTTAAAAAGTATTAGTCTCTAGCAAAATAAATAAATTTTAGATACACTACAATGAAAATGCTTAATACCCAAAACTAGAGAATCTTAAAAGCAACCAGAGGGAAAAGGCAGATTAACTACAAAACTACAACAATTAAACTGAAAGAAGCCTTCTCAAAGGCAAAAATAGAAGCAAAAAGATCATGGAATAAAATATTAACACTGTTGAAAATATAACAGAACTATCAATCTTAAATTCTACTTTTGCACTTTTTGGACAATTTAATACAGACTCCAGCAAGAAGAACTAGAAAATTGTAGTTCATGAAGAAACAAACTGATCGAGAAGTAAGCAGCGAGATGTAAGAAGCCACAGAGGGGTTTAATGCAAGTGTTAAGGTAAAGTTTCCTAACACAGAAGAGAAATGATCATACAAAGAAATTCAAATTTCTGTATAACATGGTGCTCCAATTTCATCCTTTGAAGCCCTCCCTGAGTTCCAAATATAGCAATGGCAGATGAAATATAAAAAGTAGTGTTTGTCTTCAAAAAAAAAAAAGAAAGAAAAATTTTCCGTGGGCTAGCAACAGAAACTCAATTTGAAACATTTAAATTGAAAATGTGGCTGAAGGAAATAAAACAACAAGGAAATCAGGAAGCAGAACATTCAAGGTATAGGAAATAGCAAGTACAGATGCCCTGAAACAGTACTGTATTTGACATATCTGAGGAACACCGAAGCTAGTGAAGTTGAAATGGACTATACAAGGGGAAGAGTGGTAGGAAAATCTGCAGTATTAAACAGAGAGTTCAAAAACAGATTTATGTTTAATCTGAATGAGATACAAGTAGCATTGAAATAAAACGGGAAAGAATAGACTCTAATAAATTTTGTTGTTGTTGTTAGGGGCCATCAAGTCAATTTCAACTTATAGTGAACAAATGTGACAGAGTAGAACATCCCCATAGGGTTTTCTTGGCTGCAATCTTTATGGAAGCAGATTGCCAGATCTTTTTTCTGTGGAGCCCCTGGGTGGGTTCAAACAGTCAGCCTTTTAGTTAACAGCTGAGGGATTAACCGTACGAACCACCAGGGCTTCTGTATTTAATAAATAACAGTGGACAGTTTATGTCTGTTTTTAAAAATAAATTTACATCCCTACCTCAAGTAACTAAAAAATTACAAAAAATAAAGACATAAATATAGAAATCAGTAAAAGTTAGATTACTACCTCTCACCAAAAATATATATCTAATACACTGAGTGAATATTTAAAAAAAAGAAAAAAAAACTAGGAAAGCATTATCAGAAAACATAAGATATTTTTATAACATGGTCTGATAGAAGATGACAGAAAGACAAGAAACTCAGAAGCCGAGAAGAAAAACTTGGAGAGATTTAGACGCACAGAAACTAACCTTCCATATTTTAAGATTCACGGTAAACAAAAATTGAAGTGAAAGATTAGACAAAAACATTTGTATCACATACAATGGAAAAATGGTTAAAATATGTAAGATCTCAAACTAATTTTAATACCATGGTTAAAATACATAATTGTTTCTAGAAGGTGCAGAAATTGACTGAAAGAGGGTATGAGGGAACTTTCTGGGGAGATAGGACCATTGTATATCATGACAGACATTTGGATTACTCAGAGGCATGCATTTGTCAAATGAATGGAACTGTGCACACAAAATCTGTGCTTTCAACTGTGTGTAAATTACACCTCAATAAATAGTTCATATAAAAGCATAAGAAAAGGAAATGAACACAAAGAAAAATGGACAAAAGAAAAACACAGGAAACTTTTAGAAGAATTACAAATTAGCAGTCAATTTATGGAAAGATGCTCAACTGCCTTAGGAATTTAAAACACTTAAATGGAAATAACAGTGATACTTTTCCCCACACGTTCGTTCTCTTCTATACTGTTGGTGGATGTGTTAATTGATACCATTTACTGGAGGACAACTTAAGAGTATTTAACAAAAACATCTAATGTATATAACCTAAGATGTAGTAATCCCAGATATACGAACTTATCCTTCAGGTAAACTAACAAGAATGCTTAAAGATCTTTTTTACAGAATGTTTACTTTAGCAACATTTTTATAATATGAAAACTTTGGAAGCCACCTTAATAGCCATCAGTGCTGGAAAGGATTAAAATCCATTATGATTTTTCTATACAACAGAATACTATGAAACCTTTTAATATAGTACAATAGATCTATACAGAGATGAAAGTATTTCATGATATTTTGTTAAACAGGCACAGTTTTAAATAACTATATATTTACATATATGTATATGTGTTTGTACAAAAATATCTGGAGAGCCATATGCTAAATTCTTAACAGTGGCTACCCTTTGTGGTGTTAGATTGCAGCGATAACTTTAACTTTTTACTTTATATACTCTTAAATTGTTTTCATTTGTGAGATTGAGTGTGTGATTGTTTTAAAATTGAAACAGACTCCAAACCATATTGCACACGTTTTCAAGAAGCTTATGAATGAAAGAAGAAAAAATATATTCACAAACCTTCTACAGGTTGCAACAGACAGAGAATTTTGGATATGGTAGAACGTATGAGATTATTTCTCATAAATACTGGGGCATTTAGATCAGCCTAGAAAATATATCATTAAAATTGAGTGTAACCACAATAACTCTTTATGTAACTTTGTTTTGGTTCTAATCTGGTAACATGACCCGACATGCACTTAAGAGTGTATTTTAGGCGGAAACAAGATGGTTAACCTAAGTGGCAGGGCTGGGGTTCTGTACTGTCTGTGCTGAGAAAGTGCTTGGACAAAACCATGGACAAAGCTGTCTCGTTGGAGCAGTTCTACAAAACCACTGTCCCTGGGTCTGTGCACTCTAAGTTTCACCGTTTCTCCACCGGGAGAGCTCAAGCCCTTTTGTCCCACCATTTCCTCTCGTGAGAAGAATTAAGAGTGCATTTTGACCCGTCCCAGAGGATCCAGTAGGAAACAGGCTCTCATGTAACATAGTCCTTCCCACGCCTGTGTCCATGTTGGTTATCCTGGATGGTCTCTTCAAGGCTTGTTCTGACTTCACTTCATGGTAGATGAAGTAATAGGCTCATGGAGCAAAGCATCTAGGTGAAGTGCACCAGAAAGTTGGCTCTCCTAGGATCTCTGAAGAACCTGTTGGATCTGAGGCTTGGAGTCATGGATGGTTTTCAAAGAGAAAAATATTCCACAGCTTTACATTGCGTCTTCATAGTCCCCATCTGAATCGCTTGCCTGCTTCAGCTTAGAATAGATGTCTAAGGAGACCTGGAAGCAGAGGCTCATAGATAGAACTAAAGCAGAGAAGGCAGCAGAACACACCTCCCACCAGCCCTCTTCCCCAGTAGCCTAGATGCATCCTACCATAGCACACCACACAGCATGTAAATTAGAACCTCTTTGAAGACTGGGGTCCAAGAGCAGCATTTTCAAAGGGTCTGCATCCCACTGGTGGGCCACAGAGGTGCTCCTGATGAGCTGCAAACTGACCCAAACATGCAAGGCCTTCCCTCATTCTTATGGGTCATTATATATAAGGCAGTTCCATGGGCTGTCATTTATTAAGAGATGTCAGAATTTTGTATTTGTAAACTAAATTTAGTGTGTCACTGGAGTTCACCAAGAACTTGAATTCTGTCTTGTTATGGATTGAATCGTGTCCCACCAAAAATATGTATTGGAGTCCTAATCCTTATAGCAGTGGATGTAATCCTATTTGGAGATATGGTTTAATTCGTTATGTTAAAGAGGCCATATCAGTGTAGGGTATGTCATAAACCTAATCACTTCTGAGTTATAAAAAGAGCAGATTAGGGACAGGTAAAATAAATGTCATGTAAAGATCATCAAGGAAGTGAGGAATATTGGGACTACAGAAGCTGAAACAAGGATCTTCCTCCAGAGCCGACAGAGAGACTTCCCCTATAGCTGGTGCCCTGAATTCAGAGTTCTAGCCTTCCAAACTAGAATTTCTGTTCTTTAAAGCCATTCACTTGTGGTATTTCCTTTACAGCAACACTGGGAAACTAAGTCATGTCCTGAGATATCTGGTTGCCCACACTACACTAGACAAAATTATAAGGCATTTATTGCCTTTGCACACATGAGCAGAGTTGGAACTCTGCAGTTTTCAGAAATTATTTTTGTAAAGTTGGTGATGTCTTGAGTTGTTCAAGGTTCACAAATCATTGATTTTTAGTGACACAAATCTCCATTAGTATAGCTTTGTTTAATAATAATTTAGTTTGCTGTGGATTGTTTGGCTAACCTGACATCACAGTGTTATGTATGTATGTATAGTTCAACAGTACATCAGGATACAGACTTTCAAGTAAATAGGCTTTTTAGACTAGGTATGTACTATGGTTCAGCTGCAGATCATTCATATGCCTATTGCTAAATGTCTGTTTAAAACCAAAACCAAACCCCTTGCCATCAAGTCGATTCTGACTCATAGTGAGCCTATAGGACAGAGTAGAACTACCCCATAGTGTTTCCAAGGAATAGCTGGGTGGACTTGAACTGCCAACCTTTTGGTTAGCAGCCAAGCTCTTAACCACTATGTTACTAGGGCTCCACATGTCTGCTGAGGCCTCCAAAATGTTCCTTATACAGCGACATTTTGCTGTTATAACTAATTTTTTATTCCCAGTATGTGTGGAGATAGAGGAGGGGGTAGATCGTGAAATCTTTCGCTTTTCCTAAGTGGTCATAATTTTAAAAGTTTGACAACCAGTGCCCAGAGGACAGACAGGAAGGGCATGGAGGAAAGGACAACAAGGACTTTAACTCACCTCATCCTCAGTAGGTGTCCTTGGGCGTTCTAAAGTGGAGAAAATGGTAAATGCAGTAAGTCTCTACTTATATTTAAAGTACTTGACTGAACTGGCATTAATATAGGCTTCTTCCTCTCCCATTTGTTTCCCAAGAATTGATTTCCATTAATGTTTTCACTCTTGCTTTCCTGCCTATTACAAACATGATTTTCTTACTATACAGAGGAATACTGGCAGCCTTTGTGGGGATTAAATATGCACTTCCTGACACAGAAGGGGTCTTTATACCATTCAGATTTACTGAGCCCATCATATATGGGATGGACAGCAGCAAAATAACTAGGCAGCTGTGATGGGCTGCTCTGAGAGGGCATGGGGCTACTCAGAGAGGCAGGCAGAAACCATCACCTCTGATGCTGCTATAACATTGGGGAGTGAGACGTTAGACAGGCCAAGTTCACATCAGCACTGGGATCTACTAGAGGCAGCTTACAGACCAAAGACCAGTTTTCAGTAGGGACAGTAATCTTTATAGTCAGCTCCAAGAGCAGAAGCAGCAGCTCTGCTATGTGCAGCTGTCAATTCTCCTCTTGGTTCCACGAAAGACAGAAGTCAGACACAAATTCAGTCCTTGTGTCTCACCTGCTGCTGCTTTCCATTCCTGCTGGCTACAGTACACCAATGAATAAATATCATCCCCACTTACAAGATTCACTGAAAGAGAGAAAGGAAGCATCAGGACACAGTCCCTTCTTCTTGCCGTTCAACTTACTCCATACCTATCCACCCATCACAGCCATGAAGACAGATGAGTCATCTATTTGCAGAGGTGGCTGGGGCACAGCACAGTCAGGTTATGCCAGCAGATGTCACTCCATGACCCTTTCCCCAGCTCTCTCTACACATTCTGTCACAGGTCATTTGGAACACCTCACCATTTTCATACACAGGCTGTAGTGGCACTGGGGTGGGTGAGTTGAGATAGGTAATCTCTTGGGGTACAGGGCTTGGAGGGCTCCTGCAAACACAGAAACACATGCTTTTATTTGGGATAATGAGTAAGACATTGAAGGAGAGAAATCTGTTAGAAAGTGTCTTGAGTGGAACACTAATTCATGGGCAAATCCACATCTGGATGGCACGGCTGTATGGGACAAGCCACCGTCCTATACAAGGGCTGACTGCGGCATTGCAGAGTATGCTTGTTGTTCTTAGTTGCCGTAGAGTTCAGCTCTGACTCATGGTAACCTTATGAATCACAGAATGAATCCTCACCAGGTCCTGTCATCTTTATAATCTTTGACACATTTGAGCCCATTGTTATGGCTATTGTCAATCCATCTCATTGAGGGTTTCCCTCCTTTTCACTGACCATCTGCTTTACTAAACATGATGTCCTTTTCTAGAGATTGGTCTTTCCTGATGATGTGTTCAGAGTAAGCTAGCCAAGGTTTCACTATCCTCGATTCTAAGGGACATTCTTATTGCAGAACATGAACTAGGGTGTATATTCCATGAGTGTAAGATCCTTAGCTGACTGTCTCCCTGTGGTATCACCCACACATAATATGTATTCAGTAAATATTGAATGAAGAATATACATTCACCCTCAATGGAAAACAGCTGGCTGGGTAGATCAAACAGCTTAAGAATGGGCCAGACGAAAGTGGTCACACATATACATGCACCACTGAAAGAGTGCTACTTTCATGTGGGAAAAAAATCTGTTTATTGTTGGCATAAATAATACACTATAAAAATAGATCAAATAAATATTGATATCCCCAGATGGAAGTATTTTAAAAATCTTTTCCTCCTCTAAACTCCCAAAGAACTTCAACAACTTTTGCTGTACGTTTATTACTCTCCGTCTTTCATTACAGAAATGTGTCTATACCTTGTTGTTATTGTTTTTGTTGTTGTTGTTAGGTGCCATCAAGTGGGTTCCAACTCACAGCGGCCCTATGTACAACAGAATGAAATGCTGCCCAGTCCTGTGCTGTCCTCACAATTGTTGCTAAGTTTGAGACCATTGTTACAGCCTCTGTGTCAATCCATCTCATTGAAGGTCTTTTTTCCACTGGACCTCTACTTTACCAAGCATGAGGTCCTTCTCCAGGGACTATTCTAGCCCCCTGGTATATATCTTACCTACCCTAAAATACTTTAAGACTCTCAAGATCTTTTCATATTTTCTTGCCCCTCAGCACTTAACAGAATGATTTACAGACCTTCAGATACTGGTTGACTAGTTGAATGAATACATAATTTTAGTCAAAGCCATATAACTTTCTTATTTTTATAGACGTAGTAAAAGAGATAAATTAGGAAGAATGATGAAAGGATTTAAATAAATTAGTTAATATATGAAATCTAATAGAAGAGGAATAGAAATTGAAGGTTCAAAGTTATCGGTGGGAGAAATCTAGAGTGACAGTGCTGGATATAATAAGATATAAGAAGATGCTCATGAGAGAGGACAATTTAAACTTTTAAAAATTGTTTTTCTGCATTATCAGCACACACAGAGAAAGCAGAGGCCTCACCTGAGTGGATCACTGGCTGACTGTTTTCCTGTAAGTCAAACAAAGAAGTACACAAGTGAATGGAGGGAATGCTCTCTCTCTCAGTGTTTCATACAGCCCCTGTGTGGCAACCGTGCCTCGTTCCAGACACCCATCAGCAGCTAGATCCCAGGGTGAGCTCAGGGGACAGCCTAGCAATTGTTAGGCAGAGATTTCATCTCACAAATGAAGAGACTTGGGTCCAAAATAGTTGAATAAGCCCGAAGCCACAAAGCTCACTTGTACCAGAGCTAGAATTTGAACCTAAGCCTCTAAACCATCAAGTCTATTGTAATTTTTCTTTCTTTTTTGCAACCAGACCGTCCAATCTTATCATGACAAAAGTACTTGGAGGTAGGTGTTGCCACAGCCCTATCATAGATGGAGTGAGGTGACCAAATATGCCGGAAAAGCTTGAAATTTAAATACGAATCTCACGTTGTCCTCTCTTGCCCAGTTTCCAACTTGCTCAATGGAGAACAGGAGAACAAGGTTAAACATGCAAATAAATATGTGATTACCAGCTGTGATGGAGCATGAAGCTAAAAACTTGGTACGTTGGTGAAGAATAATAAAAGAGAACAATCGTAGGCTCGGTGGCCAAGTGAAGTCTCTTTGAGGAAAGGGCATGTAAGCTGAAAAGGGAGAAAGATCCAGCAATGAGTAGAATGTGTGGATGTGCAGAAGAGCATGTCAGGGAGAAGGAAAAGGTGAGTAAGAATTAATGCATTGACTAGAACTAGGAGATGGCCAGTGTAACTGGAGCTCTTAATCATACTTCTCTTCTGTTGTTGTTGTTGTTAGTTGCTGTTGAGTCGATTCCAACTCACGGCGACCCCACGTGTGCTGAGTAGAACTGTACTCCATAGGGTTTTCAATGGCTGTGATCTTTCAAGAGCAGATCGCCTGGCCTGTCTTCTGAGGCACCTCTGGGTGGGTTTGAACTGCCAACCTTTCAGTTAGTAGTCCAGAACTTAAACAATTTGCCCCACCCAGGGAACCTACTTCTCTTCTGCTGTTATTGTTGTTATGTGCTATCGAGTCGGTTCTGACTCATAGTGACCCCAAGTACAACAAATAAATCACTGCCTGGTCCTGCACCATCCTGGTTGCTATGTTTGAGCACATGGTTGCAGACACTGTCAATCCATCTCATTGACACTTCTCTTCTAGTGACTAATTATTTTTGAGTTAATTTCTATTAAAAAAAAATTAAATCACAGAAGCAAAAGTTATCAGTTGAAACTTAACTGATAACATATGAAAGATAGAGAACTATCTGAAAACTTTACATCACTTTAATAGGCGCCAGTCCTACACATTGGGTGGTTGTAAGCAGACCCATAGGCAGGGTGGTTAGTGGGATATATTCATCTTTTACAATATACACATCATGGACCCAGTCTACTTCAATGAAAACAAATGTCGCAGTAACAGATTCCCAATCTCTGTAAATACTAACCTATTTTTCTCTTGAGCCAGTAGCAGAATAGTAGAACTATAGTGAAGGGACCAAGGGCACCAAGAAGCCCCTCAATGACTCCTGTAGTAATAAATTCCCTTCTGTTCTTGGTAGGCACTGAGAAAAGAGACCTGTGCATGAGCTTGGGGTATGGAGAACAGAGATCTTGGGTGTGGGTTGCAGCCAAGGTCTGCTCTCCCAGGAGGCGTTCACATATTTACCTAGGGACTGGCAGCATATCATGTTGATGAAAGGAGAAGAGAAGCACCCAGCATTTTGGCCCTCCACACCCCCTAGACTCATCGCTTAGAACAGCACCACCCGCAGAAGCCCCATCTTTGGTAGCACCCCACCAGCAGCACTGTGGCAGCATCAGCAAAACTTTCTCAGGAAGCTGGGAAAGAGATATGGACCAAGATAGTTCTGTAACCTGAGTTATACCTGTGATGTTGAGTGGCACAGCCTCACTGTGCTGGGTCCCCAGGCCATTGTCGGCCTCACAGGAGTAGTTCCCAGAATGCTCTGCAGTCAGGTTGAAGGAAGCTCCTCCACTGGAGGGGGCTGAGCTGTTCCCCAGAATGATATCCTCATGATAGAACCGGTACAGGATCGGAGGAGAGCCTCTTTGGACCTCACAGTGAAGCTCTACCGTATCCCCCGCCACAGCCTGGGCCCCAGTAGCCCTGATGGTGAGGACTGGGTGAGACACTGGAACTGATAGAGATAGTCAGCTGTCAGAGGGATCTCTGATGATGAGACAGACTCATAATCCCTGCCCACAGAAGGCTCAGCCCCGTTTGAACTTCTTCTGGGTGCCCCTGGGGAACATGGAGCCCAGCTTGAGATATTCTGGTTGCGATGAAGAGTAGTGGAACTTACTTCTGACAGTGATGCTCACCAGCTCACTGAGACTGGGGCCATAGCCATTGTCAGCTGCACAGTAATATTGCTCAGCATCACTCTCCCTCGCCGTAAGGATCTCAAACTCTGCAGTTAAGGAACTCTGGGTTTTTGTGCCCAGTTTTAAACCCATGGCCCCTTTGTACCAGAAGAAGGTGATATTTCCTGTGCCCTCAGTGACCGAGCAGACAAGGACCAGCATCTTTCCTTCTGTCACCTGTCCCCCTGGTGGCCGTGCCTCCAAGTTCACATCAGAGACGGGGACTCCTGTGTGAACAGAAGATAGTATAGGAGAAGTCTGAGTGGGGAGGATTTCAGAGACAGTGTGTGACCACACTGAAAGCAAAGGCCTCAGGTGAAGTCAGTAATTTATATACTTTAAAGGAAAAAAGGGGGAGGGTGTCTCTGCTAATTTGGAATTGAGTATGGTAGTGTAAGAAAGCAAAGAAATTTGAATATACTGTGGATATACCATGGCCTGCCAGAAGAATGAACAAACCTGTCTAGGAAGAAGTACAGCCAGAAGACGTCTCATGTATTTTAGACATGTTATCAGCAGGGACCAATCCCTGGAGAAGGGCAGCATGCTTGGTCAAGTAGACGGTCATTGAAAAAGAGGAAGACCCTCAATGATATGGATTGACACAGTGGCTGTAACAATGGGCTCAAGCATGACAACAATCATGAGGATGGCGCAGGACCAGGCAGCATTTGGTTCTGTTGTCCACAGGGTCGCTGAGTCAGAACTGACTCGACTGCACTTAACTAAGTATAAGAAGGACACTATAATATTACCGTGGAGGATGTATCATCACTGCCTCCCTCCCTAGGTCAATGTGACTCCCAGATAAAGGGAGAGGTTCAGGTACATCTCTAGACCTGCTCCTGTTCCTGTGGGAGAAGAATACAGCCGACAAGGAAGACCAGCTCAGGGAGGACCATCCCTGAGTTTCCAAACCCTCAATTTTCAAGGTACAGTAGTATGGTGGTTACAAGTGCAGGTTGCAAATCAAACTGCTTGTATTTGAATGCTGGTTCCAACTCTTACTTGCTGTGTGTCCTTGATCAAATTACTTAACTTCGCTAAGACTCAGTTTCTTATCTGCAAAATGGAGATGATAATGATAGTTATCTCCTACAGTTGTGAGGATTCGATTCAACAATGTATATGCAGCATTAGGACAGGTTCTGCTGCACAGTAACTGTGCGTGAGATAGCTATGATTTTTTGGTTCTGGTCTAGTGTCATGGATTTAATTGTGTTCCCCAAAAATATACGTCAACTTGGTTAGGCCATGATTTCCAGTATTGTGTGGTTGTCCTCCATTTTGTGATTGATGTGACTTTCCTATGTGTTGTAAATCCTACCCCTATGATGTTAATGAGGTGGGATAGGTGGCAGTTATGTTAATGAAGCAGGACTCAATCTACAAGATTGGATTGTGTCTTGAGCCAATGTCTTTTTGAGATATAAAAGAGAGAAGTGAGTAGAAAGGGGGACCTCATACCACCAAGAAAGAAGCACTGGGAGCATAGGACTTCCTTTGGACGTGGGGCCCCTGGGCTGAGAAGTTCCTCGACAGGGGAAAATTCATGACAGGAACCTTCCTACAGAGCGGACAGAGAAGAGAGGGTTTTCCCCTGGAGCTGATGCCCTGAATTTGGACTTGTACCCTACTAGACGGTAAGAGACTAAATTTCTCTTTGTTAAAGCCATCCACTTGTGATATTTCTGTTACAGCAGCACTAGATGACTAAGAAATTCAGGAACACCAGCACTGAGTTTTAAGTAAGCTTAGGAAAGCCCAGCCTTTTGGAATTAGTAGACATTTGCTTTATGGCACAGTGGAAACGCCTTCGTCTGAGAATGCGAGAGGATGTTGGAAGTGTCCACCCTGGAATGAAATAACATGGCTCAAAATCATAAACACTGTCTTTTCTATTTATCTTTCAAAATCAGACCCCAACCTCTCTTCCATAAGCCCTTTTCCAATAGCCTATCCATAAACTTCTATAAAATCTCTTATCACCTCAGTCAGATTTCTCCTTCTCTGTAGCCTCTACTAATAGTCAACCCTATACAATATATCACCACACAGTTTATCCTAGGTATTCAGGGTGCTGGTTGAACAAAAATTTCTTGTAGTCAGGGATCATGTATTATGCAACAATAATTTTCCCCCACTCCTTCCAGCACAGTGAAGACATACAGTAAGTGTTTCCAAAATACTCTGCTGTTTGCCTGAATGGAAACAGCAAGGATAAAGGAATATCTCTTAAGGATTCTGTTATGGATTAAATTGTATCCTCTAAAAACCATGTGTTGGAGTCCTGACCCCTATACCTGGGGATGAAATCCCTTTTGGGAATAGGGTTCTTCATTATGATAATGAGACCATGTCAGTGTAGGATGTGTCCTAAACCTAATCATTTCTGAGTGATATAAGGAACAGCCTAGACACAGAGACAAGCAAGCACAAAGTGGGGGAAGACAGATGGCACATGTAAATCGCTAAGGGACTGAGGAATCTGGAAGAGACAAGGATCTCCACCCAAGAGCCATACCCCGAGTTTGGACTTCCTGAATTGTGAGAAAAAAAATTTCTGTTTTCTAAAGCCATCCACTTATGGTGTTTGTGTTATAGCTGCACTAGGAAACTAAGACAGATCTGATAGAAAGTTCAGGTTCATCTCTAGACTAGCTCTTAATCCCAAGGGAGGAAAATACAACAGACAGGGAGGACCAGCCTCATGTCACTGCCCCTCTTGGCTCACCCTGGCAGACTTTCCCCACTGGCACTCACTCTGCACGTTTATCTGCAACATCTTGCTCTTTATAACTCCGGCTTTCACTGGTTTTGCCTCACACCAGTAAAGCCCTGAATTTCCACGCCACATGGAAGGAATCTGGAGCTTTGGGGAGCTGCTCCAGGCCAGTCTCAGGGGCCATCCATTTCTGACGAAGCGGTACTGAAGCTGGGAGTCTGTCGTCTGTAGAGGGAGCTGGATTGCACAGGTCAGAGTCACTGAGCTCCCCTCTATAGGGTGGGCGGGACTGGCTGTCAGAAACAGCTCTAGAGAGAAAAATGAAACACATATTCCAGGGCAATAGGGTTCAGATTTCCAGGTGAGAGGCACTTTGTGTTCTCAGCACTTGCAAACAGGACTCAAAGAACCACCCAGTTGGAGACGCAGTCTATCCCTCATATGACCCTGCCACAGTGGCCCCTGGAGTTTCCTTAGCCATGAGTCCACTGTGCTCACGCCCCCACCTCCCCAACACACACACACACACATCCTGCCCCTGTGAAGCAGCATATCCTTCCAGAAGTCATCCTTTACCTTTGACTTGATCTTTTCTCTTTGTGGAGTTTATGTCACTGGGTGGAACAAATGGTTAAGTGCTCGCCTACTAACTGAAAGATTAGCGCTTCAAATCCACCCAGAGGCATCTCAGAAGAAAGGCCTGGCAATCTACTTCCTAAAGATCACAGCCTTAAAAACTCTATGGAGCAGTTCTGCTCTGACACATAGAGGGCTGTCATGAGTTGGAGTCAGCTCCACAACATTTTTGTTTTGTATTTTTTTCTTTTTTAACTTCCTATTCTGAATGGGGTTTGGCTGCTAACCAAAAGGCTGGCAGTTCAAATCCACCAGCCACTCCTTGGAAACCCTATGCAGCAGTTCTACCCTGTGCTATAGGGTTGCTATGAGTTGGAATTGACTCAACGGCAACGGGTTTGTTTCTTGATTCTGAATGGAGCTTAGATGAGAGGGAGATAAGAAATGGGACAGGACTGGCTGCAAGGATCTGGAGCTCAGCCTTGCAACTCAGAGCTTGTTTCAGATCATTCCCAAGCTGCAGAGACTACCTGGCAAATACCTGATGACAGAAACTTTGTTTCCTCATCCTCATCCTTGGTGCAGCTTAGGCTTGTGGTGTTATGGGTAACAGCAGGGCCAGAAAAACACACAAGGCATGAGTTAGACTTGGACAAACATCACATGAGGAACTCAGAAGACTGGGTTGGTTCTGAAACTCTCTTTTGTCAGGAATTCCAAATCATGAGAGCCTACGGCCTGGGTTCCCTAGTTCTTGAGATTGCAGGACAATCTCTTTTAACACTGTGGTATTTTATGCACAAGAGAGCAATTCTCACATTCATAGGACGTAAACATGCCTTAGTGAAAGATTCCCTGTGGGGGGAACAATTCCCCCTCGTCTCATCTGTGTAAGGTAGGACTTTGAATCAGGATCAGAGCTAAATTAGTCTGTGAGGAAAAACTTGGTGTAGCCATCGGCGCTGCAGGGCAGGGCTAGAGATGAAGGAGGTAGCGCTGCTACTGCATTTATTGTGTGGACCAAGGATTGACTGTAAGGTGGTTCTCCATGGGTGTCCAGCATTTCCTCCATCACCTCTGGTACAGTACCCAGCTGGGGAGTACACAGGGGCCTTAGCGCCCCTGAGGCTGGAGGACAGAGATTCTCTAGCATCAGTCTTCGGCACCCTCTGCCCTCCTTGTGAAAACACTATCTTCCTCCCCACACTAGGCTTCCCAGAAATAAGAACATGTTCTTGAGGTCAGAGTAAGACCTGTGCACCCACTGAGCAGGCAGGCATCAGGTGCAGAGACTGGTGTAAACAGAGCAGCCCAGGCCCAAGGGAGCCACTGACATTTGTACACCTCAGCAGTGTCACCAGGGTGTGTCTTGGACGAGCAGGGACAGCTTGGCCATCCATCCACAGGCCTCTTGTGCTGACTCAAGTGATAAGGCACCCGCAGACCGCGAAGAAGAAAGAGAAGTGCAACTCACCGGTTGGTTCACAGAGTGGAGCTGGGAGAGAATGAAGCAGAGATCAGTAGACAGCAGCAAATCCCAAACATATGCAAAGTTTAACCCAACAATCTACCCTCCTTCCCTCCTGTCCTCCCCTGTCTCTGCCTTCCTTCCTCCTTAACACTCTCCTCCCTCCTTCTCTTCTTCCCTCTCTCCTTTCGTATTCTCCTTCCCCTTCCTTCCTCCCTTTCTTTTCTCTTTCCCTCTTTTCCTTTCCCCACATTCTACATCACCCACAAAACATCTCCCCACAAAACAACACTTGATTTTTTTTATATGATCATAAAGTAATTTATGATCACTTTTCTCAACTGTAATTAGGAAATGGTGCCTTTGCTTTTAGCTACAGAACGGCTCCCTTCTTCAAGCTCCTCACTTCCAGCCCTTCAGCTCAGAAGTCTTCCTGATCCAGCTCAAGACTCACTGCTCATGGTAACAACAGAGTCAGACAAGAGAGCGAAGGGGATCAACCTCAAGGTAATGGTACCCCTTTATTTACCAAGTTCAGATCAGAGTAAGCTTAGAGACAAGAGAAGGAATTTAGATTTCTCCAAAGATGCTCTCAACGATTGGACTGAGATATTTTGGCATAATGGTCAAGAAAAGAAAATTCTGGGAAAAATGTAGGCTCTGTAGCCAGATGGGATAGACTTAAATGCTGGCTCTTTGTCTTACAAGCTGTGTGACCCTGGAAAAAATGCTTTAGCTCTCTGTGCTTTAGTTTCTTTCTCTGTGAAATGAAGATAACAATAGTACCCACCCTATAGAGTTTTTATAAAGATTAAATAAGTTAGTACTTATAAAATGCTTGGAAGAGTGCCTGAAATTTAGTTGGCACTCAATTAATATTGTCTACTATTATTATTATCTTTTTTAGTTCATGTTTAATTAGAGATGCTTAATGTTTTAAATATTTATGTGAATAATTAGTTCCTTGGGTGACAAGGAGGGGACAATGATAGCTAACATTAAAATCACATTTTGCTTATTCATGCATTCAACAAATATTTTCGAGTGCTTACTATATGCTAGGCATTGTACACGGTACTGGGGTGAATGTGAATGACAGGCTGCAATCAAGGGATTTACATTATAGTGGGGAGAGAGCCAATCAACAGATAAATATATAATATGATTTCAGAGAGTGGCCAGTGCTACAAGAAAACTAAAACAGAGAAATAAGTTCCAGAGTATCTGAGGACAGTCATAGCTATTTAGATAGATGTCAGTTGAGTAGACACCTGAATGAAACCAGGGAGTGAGTCTTCTGAATGTTCAAGAAAAAGTATCTCTGACAGAGGTAACAGCAAATGCAAAGGCCTTGAGAAGGGAATGAGCTTGTTCAAGGAGGAATGAGAAGAAGGAATTGTCCCTGGGACTGACTGGGAGAGGGGACAGTGGTAGATACTGGTGTATGAGAAGTAGACTGGGGCCAGTCATGGGGGGCTTTGTGGACTTGGTAACAATTGGATTTCATTCTAGATGTGATGGGGAGCCAGGGACAGTTCTGAATTAACTTAAATTTGTGTAAATCATTCTTATCCTGTGAGAAGAACAGACTATAGAAGTGCAAGAGAAGCAGGGGAACATTAGTGGGGGAGTTTAGTCTAGAAAAGAGAGAAGGATGGCTCACATTAGGCAGCACTGATGCTGTTCAATGGTCAGATTCAGTATAAATTTGGAAGGTAAAATCAATAGGGATTACATACGGGTCAGATGTAAAGTGTAAAAGAAAGAGAAGAGTTACTTATGACTCCAAACTTTTTGGCCATAGCAACTGAATAATACTGGTAACATTTACTGAAATGGAGAAATCATGGGGAGAAATACTTTAAGTTTTGGGGTGGTGGTGATGCAAGTGTAGGGTCAAGAGATCTGTTTGGATATGTTGAGTTTAAGATACGTCTTAGACACATAAATGACAGTGGAATATATGAGAGGTGTTCAAAGGAGAGGTCAAACCTGGAGAAATAAATGTAAGTTTAAGCTTAACATGGCATGTAAAGTGACCAGATGATGATATTACTTGGGGAAATGTGTATGGATAGAGAAGTCTAGGTACCAGTCTTGGAGACGTCCAAGATTTCGAGGTCGGTAAAAGGAGGAGAATTCAGCAAAAAATAACTGAGAACCAACAAATATTGAGTTAAAAAGAAAAGCAGCAGAGTATGGTGTTCCGGAAGCCAAATGAAAAAGTGTTTCAAGACAAGGGAGTGCTCAACTATGTCAAATGCCCTGAGAGGCTTAGTAAAACGAGAAATGAAAATTGATCGCTGGACGGGACAACATAAAAGTGGTTGATAATATCAACAAAAGTAGTTTCAATGGTGTGGTGCGGATGTAATATTGATGGGATGGGTTCAAAAAAGGATGAGGAAAAAAAAAAAACTATAGGGACCTAAAACAGTTCAAAAGTTGCCAGGGGTTAGTGATGCAGAAAAATTTAAATGAGGGCATGAGGGGATTTTTTGAAGTGATGAAAATGTTCTGTATTTTGATTATCATGGTGGTTATACGTCTCTAAACATTTGTCAAAATTCATAGGAGATAGATCAAAAAAGAGAATTTTCTGGTAATGTAAAATTAAAATGAATTTTAGAAAGAAAGGATGAGAGGAGATGAGGTAAAGCCAACAACTCACTGAAAGCTGTAAAGGGAGACTGAGAAATGATGCAGCAGATGGAGGAGACCATTAGGTCATATTTCTTTTTTTTTTTTTTTTCAGATAAAAGATATTGTGACATGTTTGTATATTTCCAAGAATAATCTAGAATGGAGAAACATTTTGATGATGGAGCAAAGTTTTTAAGAAATCAAGAGAACCTGGGACTCAGTGCACAGTGTGGAGAATCCTATCTTCAATAGGAGGAGGGATGATATATTCATGGTAGAAGGAGGGTAAGCAGGGTATGAATACAGATGTGGCTTGGTTGGTAGATACGGCAGTAGAAAGATGAGGAAAATTTCTTCTGATTGCTTCTATTTTACCAGTGACATATGAAGCAAAGTCACAAATTGAGTAAGAGGGAGAGTTCGAGGAGGAAGAAGGCGGCATGGAAAAGTGGTCATCAAAAGTGGGAGAGCATGGGCTATGGAAATATAGCAGGCTTGCCTAGCACTGATGATGTCCCACTTGAAATTTAGGGTCCTACATTAAAAGTGAGATAAGCCATAAAGGATTATGCCTTTTGTCTAAAGTCACATTTGGCTGCTGAGGCACAAGTGTGAAGCATGCAGAAAAGTGTGTTAATTGGGCAAGTGCTATGGAGGAAGAGAGATTAGGGTGTATCCAAAGGAGTGTTGTGGTGATGGATGACAGAATCTAAGCCAAGTACTGGAGAAGTGAGGACATGGAGGGGAGGAATTGACAATGAAAGAGTGACCCTGGGGAGTTGAAGACGTGGTAAATATGGAGTGCTAGTGAGCATGAGAAGGTGGGCAAGGGGGGGGTGCTGAAAACCAATGTTTTGGAAGTGAGGCAGTTGTTGGTGATGCTGAGTTTTAGAGTTTGACAATAGGGATGTGGTGCAAGGAGGAGTAAAGGGAAATAATGTTGATAGGACGAAGGGCAAGGAACTGAGAGGCCAGTTTTTTGCATGAATTATATTTATGGCTGTTGAAACAAGCACAGGGACAGAATTAGCAGTGGAAAGGAAGACAGAGACAGTGAACACTTCTTAGGTGATAAAAACTGAAATGATAGTTTTCTTCAAAAATATGGCTTTCCAGTATCTTCCTGCCTGACTTTGAGCCCTTAGTTGGAAGTGGAGCCCTGAGCATCCCTGAGCATCCCCAAGCAGAAGCTTAGCCCTGAGAAGTCCCCACAGCTCTTCGAAGGAAATGGGACCCCAATTTGATGGGACCTCATATTCTACTTCTCATTATCCTACTCACCACAGATCAACAGCAGGAGCCTCAGGAGCATGAGGACCAGGTCAGGAACTGTAATCGGAGATGTCCCTTCATCAAAAAGAATTCACCTCAGAGTCAAGAGGCAGCAATTTGTCAGAGGTTTGAGGAAGTCAGGATCGGAAGTTACTCTTCAGCACGTTTACAAAAATAGAAGAAGGAAGAAGAGAGGTGTGGAACAGCATGGTGTATGCAAAGGTATAGTCTTGCACCCAAGGTTTAGAAGACTCTGCGTTTCTCATTGGTAAATGGAGAAATGGCTACTGAACAATCTCCTACTTTTCTCCTGTGGAGGCTGAGAAAATTAAAAATACTCCTTTGTGTAGTTTGGTTGAATTTCCACAAATTGGAGGTTGTTAAGTTGTTGTTAGGTGCCGTCCAGTCAGTTCCTACTCATAGCTGCCCTACGTACAACAGAAGGAAGCACTACGTGGTCCTTTGCCATTCTCACAATCATTGTTATGTTTGAGCCCGTTGTTGCAGCCAGTGTGTCAATCCACTTCTTTCAGGGTCTTCTTTTTTGCTGACCCTCTACTTTACCAAGCATGATATCCTTCTCCAAGGAATGGTCCCTCCTGATAACTGGTCCAATCTACGCGAGGCAAATTCTCGCTATCCTCCCTTCTAAGGAGCATTCTGGCTGTACTTCTTCCAAGGCAGATTTGTTCATTTTTCTGGCAGTTTATGCTATATGCAATATTCTTCACCAACACTATAATTCAAAGGCATCAATTCTTCAATCTTCCTTATTCATTGTCCAGCTTTCACGTGCGTATGAAGTGGTTGAAAATACCATGGCTTGGGTCAGGCACACCTTAGTCCTCAAAGTGACATCTCTTCTTTTGAACACCTTAAAGAAGTCTTTTGTAGATTTCCCCAACACAATACGTCCTTTGATTTCTTGACTGCTGCTTCCATGAGCGTTGATTGTGGATCCAAGTAAAATGAAATCCTTGACAACTTCAATCTTTTCTCCATTTATCATGATGTTACTTATTGGTTCCATTGCAAGGATTTTTATTTTCTTTATGTTGAGGTGTAATCCATACTGAAGGCTATAGTCTTTGATCTTCAATAAGTGCTTCAAGTCCTCTTCACTTTCAGTAGCAAGGATGTTTCATCGGCATATTACATGTTGTTAATATTTCTTCCTCCAATCTTGATGCTTCCTTCTTCTTCATATAGTCCAGTTTCTCTGATTATTTGCTCATCATACAGATTGAATAAGTATGGTGAAAGGATACAACCTTGACATTCACCTTTCCTGATTGTATCCCCTTGTTCTGATTGAATGACTGCTTCTTGGTCCATGTACAGGTTCCTCATGAGCACAACTAATTGTTCTGGAATTCCCATTCTTCACAATGTTATCCATAATTTGTTATAATCCACACAATCAAATGCCTTTGCGTAGACAATAAAACACAGGTAAACATCGTTCTGATATTCTCTGCTTTCAACCAAGATCCATCTGACATTAGCAATGATATCCCTCATTCCTTGTCCTCTTCTGAATCTGGCTGGAATTTCTGGAAGTTCCCTGTCGATATGCAGCTGCAACCTTTTTTGATTATCTTCAGCATAATTTTACTTGTGTGTGGTATTAATGATATTGTTCAATAATTTCTACATTCCATTGGATCACTTTTCTTTGAAATGGGCACGTATATGTATCTCTTCCAGTGGGTTGTCCAGGTAGCTATCTTCCAAATTTCTTGGCATAGGTGAGTGAGCGTTTCCAGCATTGCAGCCATTTGTTGAAACATCTCCATTGGTTTCCATCAATTCCTGGAGCCTTGTTTTTCTCCAATGCCTTCAGTGCAGTTTGGACTTCTTACTTCAGTATCATTGGTTCTTGATCACATGCTACCTCCTGAAATGGCTGAACATCAACACATTCTTTTTGGTACAGTGACTCTGTGTATTCCTTTCATCTTCTTTTGATGCTTCCTCTATTGTTCAATATTTTTGCCCATAAAATCTTTCAGTATTGCAGCTCAAGGCTTGAATTTTTTTCTTCAGTTCTTTCAGCTTGATAAATGCTGAGTGTTCTAACCTTTTGGTTTTATATCTCCAGGTCTTTGCACATTTCCTTATAATACTTTACTTTGTCTTCTCAAGCCACCCTTTGAAATCTTCTGTTCAGCTCTTTTACTTCATCGTTTCTTCCATTCACCTTAGCTACTCTACGTTCAAGAGCAAGTTTCAGAGTCTCTACTGACATCCATTTTGGTCTTTTCTTTCTTTCTTGTCTTTTTAATGACCTCTTGCTTTCTTCATGTATGATGCCTTTGATGTCATCCCACGACTTGTATGGTCTTTGGTCATTAATATTCAATGCGTCAAATCTATTCTTGAGATGTTCTCTAACTTCAGGTGGGATATACTTAAGATCGTACTTTTGCTCTCATGGACTTGTTTTCATTTTCTTCAGCTGCAACTTGAACATGCATATGAGCAATTGATGATCTGTTTGCAGTCGGTCCTTGGCCTTGTTCTGATTGATGATATGGAGTTCTCTATCATCTCTTTCCACCGATGTAACTGATTTCATTTCTGTGTATTCCACCCAGGGAGGTCCATGTGTATAGTCTCCATGTATGTTGTTGAAAAAAGGTATTTCCAATGAATCAGTCATTGGTCTTGAAAAATTCTATCATGCAATGTCCTGAGTTGTTTCTATCACCAAGGCCATATTTCCAATTACTGATCCTGCTTTGTTTCCAACTTTCACATGTCAATGCATCTTGACTGCATATTTGATCAGTTTCAGACTGCAGAAGTTTGTAAAAATCTTCAGTTTCTTCATCTTTGGCATTCGTGGCTGGTGCATAAATTTGAAAAATAGTTGTATTAATTTGTCTTCCTTGTAAGCTTGTGGATATGATCCTGTCACTGACAGCACTGTGTTTCAGGATAGATCTTGAAATGTTCTTTTTGATGATGAATGTGATGCTCTTGCTCTTCAATTTGTCTTTTCTGGCAAGGTAGAGCATATTATTTACCAATTCAAAATAGCCAGTACCGGTCCATTTCAGCTCACTAATGGCTAGGATATTGATTTTCAAACTTTCCATTTCATTTTTGACAATTTCCAATTTTCCTTGATTCATACTTCGAACACATTCCAATTATTAATGGATGCTTGTAACTGTTTCTTCATTTTCTGTTGTGCCACATCAGCAAATGAAAGTCCCTGTCTTAGTTATCTAGTGCTGCTGTAACAAAAATACCACAAGTGGGTGGCTTTAACAAACAGAGGTTTATTTTCTCACAGGTTAGGAAGCTAGGAGTCTGAATTCAGGGTGCCCACTCTAGGGAAAGACTTTCTGTCTCTGTTAGCTCCGGAAGAAGGCCCTTGTTCCTTTGAGCTTTGAGCTTCTTCTGCTCCTGGGTGATCTTCATGTGGCTTGGCATCTCTTTTCCCCCATTTCTGCTTCCTGGTTTGCTTGTTTAATCTCTTTTATATCTCAGAAGAGATTGACTCAAGACACACACTATACTAATCCTGCCTTGTTAATATAACAAAGACAACCCATTCCTAAATGGGATTATAACCACAGGTATAGAGGTAAGGATTTACAAAACATATTTTGGGGGAATACAATTCGTTCCATAAAATTCCACCCTTCGGCCCTCAAAAATTTATATTCTTGCCACACGCAAAACACATTCATCCCATTACATCGTCCCAGAAGTCTTAAATCAACTCCAAGTTCAAAATCTCATCCTCTGAATCATCTAAATCAAATATGGGTGAGACTTTAGGCCTATTCCTTCCTGAGGTAAAATTATTCTTCATATGTGAACCTGTGAAATCTAGACTACAAATTATCTGTTTCCAAATTACAGTGGTGGAATAAGCACAAAGTAGACATTTCCATTACAAATGGGATAAATTGGAGGAAAAGAAGGGATAAAGGGCGCCAAGCAAGTCCAAAACCCAGCAGAACACTTTACATTAGCTCTCTAACCTTGAAAATAATCCTCTGTTATCTGAGACTATCTGGTAATAGACTTGCCCTCCAGACTCCGGGTGTTGGCCACACCCTCTGGATTCTGGGTGGAGGCCCCTTGGCCTTGGGCTTCAGCTCTGCCTTCCAGGCCCAATGGGATGACAACTCTGCCCCCTTGGCATTGATCATCCCCATTCTTCTAATCTATCTGACGGGTGACCCCATCCCCTGGGCCCCAGCAAGCTCAGTTCTTCTGCCCCTTGGGCGTAGCAGTGCTCCCGTCAGCTTTGGGTGATGGCTCCATCTCCCTGGCACACCTTACCAGCAGCCCCACATTCTGAACAGAGTTGGCAAAGATCTGACTCTTCGAAACCTTGGAGGCTGTGGTCCCACCCTTTGAGATCCAGGAGACCATGGTCCCATCCTTTAAAACCAAGAAGGCCCTGCTTCCTGTGCTCCTTCTAACAATTCTGCTGATTTCCTAGCTGCTTCAGTGATGGTCCTTTTCTTTTCCTGGAGGACAACAGATGTAGCTCCTTTAGCCTGTTTCCTGCCTGTAGAATTCCAAGAGGCAGGCAGTGTTCTTTCCTTTTGTTCCTTTGCTGTCCCCTTCAGTCTAAGCTGATTGAGTTTTCTTCCATGGTAGTTGTTAGATCCATCAGTCACAGGCTTAATCTTTTTTGGATTTGCAACATACATTTTTGGGGGGATACAGTTCAATCCATAACAGTCCTGAAAGCTTTACTCCATCTACATCATTAAAGTTGACTCTACTTTGAGACGGCAGCTCTTCCCCACTTGTATTTTGAGTGCCTTCCAACCTGAGGGGATCATCTTCCGGCACTATATCAGACACTGCTATTCATAATGTTTTCACTGGCCAATTTTTTCAGAAGTAGATCACCAGGTCCTTCTTCCCAGTCTGTCTTGGTATGGAAGTTCTGCTGAAACCTGTCCACCATAGTGACTCTGCCGGTACTTGAAATACCTGTGGCATAGCTTCCAGTATCACAGCAACATACAAGCCACCACAGTACGACAAACTGACAGATGACTGGTGGAAATTGGGGGTAGTACACTTTAATATATCAGGGTCTTCTCCAAGGATTCAGGTATTTCAAAGGAAGTTTCCCAAATGTAATTTCTGACTTTGACAAGAATCCAATCAGGATCTGGTCCTGCTGAAATTCAAAT